GGGGTGGAGGGGGTAAAGGAGATGGGATGAAAAATTAAGACACAAGAGATTAAAGTTGGAAGTTCTCTTTAAGTTCAAATTAAATTTGTTTACCATCTATAGCTGCCGGTGTCCGGTTGATGGTGTTTTTGTCGATCTTATTAGTGTTCTTGTTTTCTTGCTGCTGTTACTCTTGTTTTGTTTTGTTTTTTTGTTGTCATTGTTATCGTTTTTGATGTTGTTGTTGGTGGTGGGTTTTTTGTTCTTGCTTAGATTTGTTTGCCAGTCTGTCTGTCCGTCTGTCTGTCTGTCTGTCTGTATGTCTGCCTCTGTCTCTGTCTCTGTCTATGTCTCTGTCTCTGTCTCTCTCTCTCTCTCTCTCTCTCTTTCTCTCTCTTTCTCTCTCTCTCTCTCCCTCTCTCTCTCTCTCTTTCTCTCTCTGTATGTGTGTGTTTGTGTGTGCGTGTGTGCGTGTTATGTAAGTTGTTGCTGCGTGTGTGAGATGTCTTTGGTTCTGGGCCAGTTACCCGTTATTTCACTTGAGCCAGGGTATTTTTAATGTATGAAATAGAGATATGGCGTTGATGACGCTGTTATCTTTTCACCTCTTTGTTGCAATTACGTAATTTAGATGTGAAGGCGGCAACTGAAAACAAGAGCTCTCAATATCATCGCCAGGTCTCCTTGTCTGATAAACTCATCACTGACCTATGTTCTTCTACTTTCCCTGCTTTGTTCTTCGTCATTGTATAACGGTTTTAGATCTATCCCTTGCAGGAGGTTGGTGCAAGCTCTGGTCAGGTTTGCTCCTTCTTTCCTGTCAAACATCTATCGTCCTGACCTCCTTTCCTTTTTTATGTTTGTTAGTCTCTTGTAACATCTCTAATCTTCAGCACTTATAAGACCTTTTTGTGTTGCAAGCACCGTAAGACGCTTACTGAATCAGCAACAAAAAAAGGATGTGTAAGGCGTGCTGACAAAATGAGTTATTTCTCGCAATCCACAAATAGAGATATTGGCCAAAAATAGACACTTGGATCAAATTCGTAGATTTTCTATTGATACTATAATCTTTAGGTATATTATAATATGTCTTTTATTATTTCATAGGCCTACTTATGAATTGTAAAAACGTCATCTATAAGCATAATGTATCTATTTACAGAGGGCTCAAATCCGAGAGGTAACTCATTTTGTCAGCACGCTTCACATATACCTCTGATGCCAATTCACTCGTTTGTTTCAGCCTCATTCACCTTCCTACAATGGCTTTCACTTACGCTGCCGCAAGCGTGCCTCGTCAACGGGAAGCAATCGCCGTTTCAGTATGATCCAAATTCCTTTTCAACAATCATCCAGCGATACGGGTGAACAATTTTGGAGGTCTCGTGTGCATGTTGCGCGCGTTAAAGATCCCTCCTTGGTGGTCCAACATTGATAAGAGTAAGCTTCAGTCGCCACTCTGGCAAGATTCTACATTTCCTACCAACTGAAAATGTTTAATGTGTCCCGCGCGTTCATATGACCGTATGCAGCTGTGAGCGCCGTAAAACACTTACAAAAAAATCATCATGCTCGGGAAATGTATCTTTGGACACCCTTTTGTGTATACCTTGATGTCCTAAGCCTCAAGAACTCAAAATGGACCAAAGTCTACGGCATTGGCATCAATAATTATTCTAAGACAATAAGAGAAAAAATGTTTTTAAATTGGCATAAAAGTTGTTGAGTTAAAAAATAAAACCTAAAACAAACAACAAAAAGCAATCGATAAAATGTATTTGTCCCATGGATGGGAAAAATGTCGGTGTCTTCGATTCCATTAATTATTTAATGGGTGTCTGATTTTCCTAGGATGCCACACATACACATTACATGGACTCCTTTTCAGCGCACGACGGGGCTGGGAAAAACACGAAAAAAGGAAAGGATAACAATAGCGAACAAGAACAACAAACCAGCCAGGGTGGGAAATACATGTACATGTATAGACGTATTCTAGAGAGGGGTTGCTTTAAAAAAAAATTTGTTTTATCCTTCTTTTTTTTATATA